CAACACACTTAGAAGATGTTGCTTTCAAATCAGCCACAAATTATTTCCTGAGTCATGAGTGCCACCTTCTAAGCTGTGCTCTCCCTCTGAGCTTGTCCTAACTGGAAAATGACCAGGGTGAGTATGCAAAGCGTTTCAGCTGCCCCTCCTGCCTCATGCACAGGGAACAGCAAAAGGAAGAGAAGAGAAAAGATAGAAAAGAAAAGAAAAGAAAGAAGTTGAACAGCAACAGAAAAAAAAAAAAACTTGCTTTGTAAAAATCCTCTAAATAAGTCTGAAGATTAATTTTTGAAAATCCACCAAAAAGAAGGCAGTTTATAAACATTTATTTAGTTCATCTTGTACAGGATACATTTTTTAAAATGCTCTGTTGAATTTTCAAATTTCAAATTCTTCAGATCTGGTTCTTATCATTTCTCTCAGTCTTTTGTAATCAAATTTCACGATAAAAACCTTTTTTTTAAAATTAGTTTTCTAAAACCATCAAAATCTGAAATAATTAAGGCACTGAAGCCTCCTAAGTGGCTCCATCAATGGAGGGCTTTGTTGGACCCCGTTGGAAGACAGTACTTTTCCTGGCATTTCTGTACATACTTGTTTTGCATCTGTTCTCATTCAATCCAATAAGATATAAGGAGCAGGTAAGGCCACATCAAACACTGCATTTGGGTGTTTAGTGAATTCCCAGGTGTGACTAGGCAGATATTTTCCATGTCAAGATTTCCTGCCTGCCACGTGGATATCCACTGAAAGATGGCTTGCCTTGTGGACTATGAAATGGCAAAGTCTGAAAATGCCAGTTATTTTGAGTTATAAAGTATCCTTAGACCTGTTCTCTGGTAAGGAGCTTACAAGGGGAAAAAAGCAACAGGTAACACCATGTTGCCCCTGAACATATGCTTTCAACAACTAAAGTTGCTAAGATTATGTGAAAATGACCTCAGAAACAATTGATTATCTGGCCCATTGAGTGGCGGTGGCAGGGATCAGGGAACGGGAGGGTCCCAGATGCTTGTCATTTACACCCAAAGAGCAGTGAAACATTCTTCCTTTCAGAGTTGGCCAGGGGTGACTTCATGGAGAATGACTCTCTGACTCATCCCTGACCAGTCTTATGTCTTAAATAATCTGTGAACACCCTTTTATCTCTTTCATGACACTAGACTGAAAATCCCTTAGCTATAAATTGAGTGCCTCATAAAATAACTGTAAAGTCAATATTTAGAGATAAGTCCATTTATAATATTACACTTTGGAAACGTCTTAATGTGACCAGTGGGAGGCAGGCAAGATCGTCCTAGTGTGCGGGATATTACCTCATCAGCCCATGCCCCAGGGAGACCAGCTCAAGGGTGGGGTCTTCTGCTCTGTCTTATGTGTGCTGGGAGTGACACAGGGTTGGTGTGGGGCAGACTGAGGACAGTTAAGATGAAGAACAAGAGAAAATAGAAAAAGAAGACATACATAAATGGCTATAACATATCCCCAAAAGTCCAGCTTCCTTTGTTTTCATCTGCCCCATCGCCTTTCCTTTGTCATTTGGCTTCTTGTTGGACGAATGACCTGTTCTCTAAAGGGAAGCCTCTGAGACCATAGCTCTGGAGGTTAGAGGGGCCGAACAGGGTGCCAGGAATAGAAATATTCTTTGGTATATTAATTTTAAAGATATAAATACAGATGAAGAAGATTAATATAGATAAAGAATATATTCATATAGATGGCACCATGTAAGTTCACACTTCTTTGATGGACATTTTTCTCCCAAGTGGATCCATTAACTAGGGTACTGGTAACGTCCGTGCCTCAGTTTTGCCTCAGCAGAGGTGGTAAGGACAGTGCCCAGCTGCTTCAGATGGAAGACCTGCCTGAGGTCTGTGCTCAGAGTAGAAAATTAGCAATGGTGAATACTGCCAGGTGACCAAGTGACATGGCCACCTGGAGTGTGTGTCCCCCCTCAGGAGCACAGTGAGGGATGGATGAGGGTTGGAGGGGGATAAAATGACAGGGCTGGGGGTTGTTTATGAAATGTTTGTGTGTTGTCTTGGTGCTATGTTGAGACTATTGAGTGTTTTTATTTATTTATAAATAAATTTTATTTATTTATAAAAACAGATTCAGGCTGGAGGTCAGTGTCACTATCATAGCTCACTGCAGCCTCAACCTCCTGGGCTCAAGCGATCCTCCTGCCTCAGCTTCTTGAGTAGCTGAGTAGCTGGGACTACAGGTGTGCACCACCACACTTGCCTAGTCAAAAAAAATTTTTTTGTCTCACTTTATTGCCCAAGCTAGTCCCAAACTCCTGGACTCAAGCGATCCTCTCATTTGGCCTCCTATAGTGCTAGGATTACAGGCGTGAGCCACTGGTGTGTGTCCCTTTACTAGTGTCTTGACTCCCGGTACTCTGTGCCCAACTCCCAGCACCTTCTCTTTATTCACCACCTCTCTGTAGAGCTTTCAGAATCTTATGGCTGCTGCTTTTCACCACCAAAGTTAGTGAATGAACATCAACAAGGAAATTCCTTGTTTCCTCCAACTTTGGCCTTAGAATGCTCTTAAAATTCTCATTAGTCCTTTTGTGCCTTTGATGTTATATTTAATAAAAATCTCTAACCCATTTTCGTGAAGCTCCCCCACCAAATCGATGTGAAAGTACCACAAAGAAAATAAACTCCCCCTCCCCTCTCCCGGGGCTCCCAAAGGCCATTCTGTTTTGTTTTGTTTTTTTTTTTCCTTCACATGATTCCATGCTTAAAAGCATCATCCAACAAGCAAACAAGCATGGGAGTGAGTAAATGCTCTGGGACATCTTGATGGGACAGTGAGCTGATTTAAAAGCAAAATGATAGATCTGTGATCAATGACAAAATGTGGTGGAGAATGCTGTTAGAACAAGCATGCACCCCAAGCTGTGCTCTGCGCAACACGGTAAGAAACAGAAATTAGTGGAAATGACTGGATCATGCAATTATTGGGGAAGAAGCTGCCGAGAAGAATAAAAAAGTGTGAATACCTGTGTAGGTCATAGCTTCCTCCATCTTTATTTCCTGATATAGGAAAATACAAGAGTAATTTCTGTTAGCTTTAGAACTTATAAAACCATTCACTATATAGTTTTCCATGCATAACATCTAAATCCTAGAAAGAAACACATGGTGTTAAATACAGACAATGTTAAAGCCCAACAGAGATTTCCTATTAGGTTCAAAATGAGGATTGAAAGCTATAAATGAAAAGATTTAAGATAAAAAAGAGTTCATATGAAAAAAAATGGGTGGGTGTTAAAGGGAGGAGAGCCCACTTAAAAGCAGTGGGAAAGGTACTTCCAAAAGTCCATGTAATTCTCAGGAAAAGTTAAATTTTGGTTATTTTTAGACAAAACATTGGAAAAAAAATGGGCTAATAATCATCTCCCGTAGGAACAGTCTGGAAGGTGGAGAGGACGGCTTAAAGTGAAACAGCGTAACTGACTCCATCCAGTGTATCATTTCACCATTAAGGGACTCGATCAGATTTCACTAAGTAGAGTTGTTATGTCACCACCAATAAAAGTCCTGTGTTCTTTTGGGGAGAAATATCTGGGTATAGTATTTCTAGTGCCTCTAATGGTTGGTTAAGATTCCTAGTCTTTGCAGGCTCTTTCCTTTCTTTCTTTCTATCTTTATTTCTCTCTTTCTCTCTTTCCTTCTTTCTTTCTTTCTTTCTTTCTTTCTTTCTTTCTTTCTTTCTTTCTTTCTTTCTTTCTTTCTTTCTTTCTTTCTTTTCTTTCTTCTTTCTTTCTCTTTTTTTTTTTTTTGGTCAGATTTGCGGAAAAGGTCAACAGATAAGCAGGATATTTGAAAAGATTTGAGCTGAGTGGGGTCAGTGACCAAAAGACCTATTTTGTAAGTCCAGTCTGCTCTTGACTGACAACTGATTCCACTAAGTGTTAACTGCGAGGTGTTGATTGAAAACTGAGGATTTATATTTTCTTAGGGGACTCCCAGAACTCAAAAGCCTTTGTGACTGTACAGTGGCGGAGATGACAGGTGGTGCTGTTGATCATTCTGGGATGGGAATTCCTACCCCCTTCAAGGCATGTGACCCAGAAAGCTGCCCATTTTACTGCTGATGACACTGGCTCTGCACCAGACCCACAGAGAAAACCCAGCGGCACCACAAAAAGCTCCTGCAAACTGCACCCAAATGCCTGTGAGTTCAGCTCTTCACCCTTCTGGAGCCGGCATGCCATGCCAAGGTCCATGCCCTTGCCGGTTTTAGGTCTTTCTCCTTCCTTGTATGGAGAGCTGGTATTTACATTTCTGCAGAAATCATGAGGAAGAAATGAGCATTTTCATTAACCAAGAAAGAGCTGGGGCGGACACTGAAAAGAACTGCATCTCCATGAAACAAAGGAGAAATAAGCCAGTTTAACACACAGAGCAGGGAAGGAACATCTGGCTGATTCCATTCAGGCCGTCTTATATTTTTAGATCCCAAGTTAATGAACTGCTCCAACATCTCTGGTTTTAGATGAAAAATATTGGCAAAAGAAATCTAATTCAGTATCATAGGCAGGAATCCAACTAGGGGAACTCCAAACTGGGATAGCAGAAATAGAGCATTGTGTCTTTCCATCAAAGTTCTCTTAAAAAAAGAGAATATCCTGGTTTACTTAGAGTATATCTTCAGACTGTTGACGGCAATAACAAACAAATCCCCAATGCTTTCATCTCATCTTCCAACAGATGCTTCTATCAGGAATCAAGGTTTACTAATAGAATAGACCTGTGGGAGATATTGGAAGGAAATGCTCACCAAATCTTTTGGTGGATTAAGTTTTTCATTAGTACACCCAGAGCTAAACTTAGAGATCAAATTGTATTTAGAATTGCCTGGAAAGTGTCTCCTCTAAATATCTTGAACTATATGTTTCTGTGCAATTAAATGTTTCCAAGGCAGAAGGCTTAGTAACACAAAGAATTTTCCAGGTAAAATAGAAAAAATACTATTGTTTTCCTTACCAATATCGAGATTCTTAGGTCTTGGGTTGCACTGCTTATATCCTTGACAGCTTCTGAGCTCCATTAATTGTACGTGTAGCTGATTCAAAACGCCTCGTTCTACCGTGTGCACTGTATTTGTGAGCTGTGAATAGAGACAGGACAATCTATTTAAGCTTATGTCTGGTTATCCTATTTTCAACAACCTTCATAAAATGAACATATATTGTCTTACCTGATAAGGATCTGTATTCATATCAAAATACTCCAAAAAGCCAGTAGCAAACTCACAGAAAAGAAAATTATGCGTCTCATTAACTGTACGCAAACACCAGTAGGTGTTATTGTTAGAACTCGTGCAAGCACAGAAAGATCCCACTGTTGGGTAAAAAAGAAAAACACAACAAAACAAAAAGAGTGAAAAACCTTAGGCAGAGGCAGGCTTGCCATTCCAGTGTTCTCTTATCTTTACACTTTAAAGTTCACAATTTCTTTCTTATAAATATACTGTGGTTTCATGTTAAGAATAATAATACCTTTCCCCCCGCCATGTAAATTTGCTGTGAAACTAGGTGAAAATGGGGAAAAAGATAGATCTCTTATAGGCTGAAGACTAAAGTAAAATTTCAGGCATATTAGTTTATCCTCCCCTTAGCTCTGTTATGCAGTGGTTTCCAAAGAGGGGTGAGTGAGGGAAGTATGAGAAGAAAAATATCAGAATTTCTATTTATTCTCTTTTTGAAAAAGAAAAATGGTTATTTAATAAAGATTTGGAACTACTACCCTCACTTGTTCTATATGGCAGATGGCCACGTGTCACCAATGAAGCATGAAAAGATGGGATTTTGCAACAAAGAAGGGTTTAGAGAAGCCTTGAGCCCAGCCTGGAGGATTTGGGATGGTCTCTGCAACACTCTAGCCTGAGCTAGGCTGTGACCACAAACATCTTTTATACCACATAGCCCCCTGGTCAACTTGTAGAAGGTATCCAGAAGACATGTCCCATTTATAATCAACTCACCCACTCTTCTGTTTACAAAAGGGCACATGTTCCAAATTTGCTGACCTTTCCTGAATTTCAGAAATGTGCTGCCTAACAAATATATTTTTTTTAAGAGATAGGGTCTCTCTCTGTTATCCAGGTTGGACTAGAACTCCTGGGCTCAAATGATCCTCAGCTTCCCAAGTAGCTGGGACTACAGGCATGCGCCACTGCGTCTGGCCCAGCAAAAAATTTTTTAAAACAACTATTAGGTTGGTGCAAACGTAATTATGGTTTTTGCATTGTTGAAATTTGCTGTTTGATATTGGAATACATTCTTAAATAAATGTGGTTGTATTAATCATTTTAATGGGCATTTCTTGCTTTCTTTTTTTTTTTTTTTTTTGCCAATAACGTATTACTTGCTCTTTATGTTTATTTTAGACTATGGAAATGGTGTTCGACAAAAACTAAATTCCAGTGATTTTCTTATTCGAGTTCAAAATGGATTGTAAAGCAGCGGAGACAACTTGCAACATTAACAAAGCATTTGGCCCAGGAACTGCTAACGAACGTACAGTGGAGTGGTGGTTCAACAAGTTTTGCAAAGGACATGAAAGCCTTGAAGATGAGGAGCATAGTGGTGGACCATTGGAAGCTGACAACGACCTTGAGAGAAATCATCGAAGCTGATCCTCTTACGGCTACATGAGAAGTTGCGGAAGAACTCAGTGTCGACCCTTCTATGGTCATTCGGCATTTGAAGCCAATCAGAAAGGTGAAAAAGCTCGATAAGTGGGTGCCTTATGAGCTGAGGGGAAAATAAAAAATATCGTCGTTTTGAGGTATTGTCTTCTCTTATTCTATGCAACAACGACGAACCATTTCTCAATCAGACCATGATGTGCGACGAACAGCTCAGTGGCTGGACCAAGAAGAAGCTCCAAAGCACTTCCCAAAGTCACATTAACACCAAAAAAGGTCTTAGTCACTGTTGGGTGGTCTGCTGCTGGTCTGATCCACTACAGCTTTCTGAATCCTGGCCAAACCAGTACATCTGAGAAGTATGTTCAGCAAATCAATGAGATGCATCAAAAACTGCAATGTCTGCAGCCGGCACTGGTCAACAGAAAGGGCCCAATTATTCTCCACGACAATGCCTGACTGTGGCACAATCAATGTTTCAAAAGTTGAACGAATTGGGCTACGAAGTTTTGTCTTATCTGCCATATTCATCTGACCTCTTGCCAACCGACTACCACTTCTTGAAGCATCTTGACAACTTTTTGTGGGGAAAACGCTTCCACAACCAAAAGAATGTAGAAAACGCTTTCCAAGAGTTCATTGAATCCTGAAGCATGAATTTTTATGCTACAGGAATAAACGAGCTTATTTCTTACGGCAAAAATGTGTTGAGTGTAATGCTTCCTATTTTGGTTGATAAAGATGTGTTTGAGCACAGATATGAGTCCGAAACTGCAATTACTTTTGCACCAACCTAATAGGATAGGTACACGTGATGAGCATTCCTTGTGCACTGTGTACTTTGCATGTACTATAACTCATTTAATCCTCAAAGCCACTTCTTGAGACAGAGGTTATTATTATCATCCTCATTTTAACAGATGGAAAAACCCTAGGGACAGAGACGTTAAGTAATTTGTCCAAGGTCACACGGCTGACAACTGGTAGCACTGGGATCTGGCTACAGAGTTTACATTTTTTTTTTGAGACAGTGTCTCTTTTGCCCAAGCTTGAGTGCAGTGGCATGATTAAGGCTCACTGCAGCTTTGACCTCGCAGTCTCAAGTGATCCTGTCACCTCAGCCTCCTCTGTTGCTGGGACTACAGGTATGCACCATCACACCTGGCTAGTATTTTATTTTTTGTAGAGATGGGTCTTGGCATGTTGCCTAGGCTGGTCTTGAACTCCTACACTCAAGCGATCTGCCTGCCTCGGTCTCTCAAAGTGTTGGGCTTACAGGCATGAGCCACCACGCCCGGCCAAGAGTTTACTCTGAATTACTAGACTCTGCTGTCCTATGCAGTATCAGACACACTAAATCTGTCCCCTTAGGCTAAAAGAGATGTTTTAAACAATGAATGAGAAATGATTTTAAAAAATTATTTTAATAGACTATTTTTTAGAGCAGTTTTGAGTGAGAAGTACAGAGCATTCTCATATAACCCCAGTCCTCACAGATACATAACCTCTCCCACCATAGACATCCCTCACCAGGGTGGCACACTTGTTACCATCAATGAGCCTATATTGACACATCATTGCTACTTAAAGTCCATAGTTTACACTTGGGTTCACTCTTGGTGTTGTGCATCCTATGGGTTTGGACAATGCATGATGACATTTACCTGCCATTGTTGTATCACACAGAGTAGTTTCACTGCTCTAAAAATCCTGTGTTCTGCCTATTCACCCCTCTCTCCCTCCAGGAATGATTTTTTTTAAAGTTGATTAGCTAATTTAAATATTTTTACACGGTCGGGTGCGGTGGCTCACGCCTGTAATCCCAGCACTTTGAGATGCTGCAGTGGGCAGATCACCTGAGGTCGGGAGTTTGAGACCATCCTGGCCAACATGGCGAAACCCCGTCTCTACTAAAAATACAAAAATTAGCCGGGCGTGGTGGCGGGTGTCTGTAATCCCAGCTACTCGGGAGACTGAGGCAGGAGAATTGCTTGAACCCAGGAGACGGAGATTGCAGCGAGCCAAGATCATGCCATTGCACTCCGGCCTGGGAGACAAGAGTGAAACTCTGTCTCAAAAAGAAAAAAAAAATTTTTTTTACACATTATGTTCTCCAACTTAAAACTTGTATTCTCTCTCTCTCTCTCTCTTTTTGTCCTTTGAGACAGGGTCTCACTCTGTCACCCAGTCGTGTGATCTGCAGCCTCCTCCACCGGGGCTCAAGTGACCCTCTCACCTCAGCCTCCCAAGTAGCTGGGACTACAGGCAAGCCCGGCTGATTTTCATATTTTTTTGTAGAGATAGGGTTTCACCGTGTTGCCCAGGCTGGTCTTGAACTCCTGGGCTCAAGTGATCCACCTGCCTCAGCTTCCCAAAGTGCTGGGATTACAGGTGTGAGCCACCGTGCCCAGCCTACTTTTACACTCTTAAACTTTTCATATCCTTTCTGATCTTTTATTTAATGCAAACAGTCTTTGTAATAGACATGTACCTTTTAAATAAAATGTTACCTCATTTATAATAACTTATGACAATAATTCTAGGAATGTCACCTAATAAAAACCATCTATTCTAGAGAACTTCTAAATTATATTAAAACATTAAAAAGCCTTAATACTTGAGATTTGATATCAACAAATCAGATAACAAACTACATATGCTTATTTCAAAGAAAGGCCTGAAGCTTATAGGAAATGACCTGAGAGAGTAGCTGTGGGGAAAAAATCCTAAATTGAATTGAATGAACCAGATTAGATAAAATATAGGCAAAGAAAAGATAATATCTTAAAAATGGATGATTGAAAATGCTTTCATCATTATATGACTTTTCATTAAAAGATCTCTAAATATGTTATTTATAACATATTGTTTATATGTGAACATTTATCTCACATCTACATACATTAAAAACCGTGGAATCCAAATTTTCTAATCTGTGTAGAAATCTTCCAAATTAACAGTTGAAAAGGGTTTTAAACTTGTTTCATGAAATATACAAATACAATACCTTTGTATTTGCAAGAATAATTGATCAATCTCAGGGAGAATAGACATTTAATAGTATAATTTCAGTAGAGATGACTACTTAGTTAATGGTGGCATTAAAAATTACCTAACGTAGATGACGGATTGATGGGTGCAGCAAACCACCACGGCATGTGTATTCCTATGTAACAAAACTGCACGTTCTGCACATAGACCCCAGAATTTAAAATATAATAAAAATGAAATTAATAAAATAAATAAATAAATGAATGTCCTGGCCAGGTGCACGGTGGCTCACACTTGTAAGCCAGCACTTTGGGAGGCCAAGGCGGGTGGATCACCTGAGGTTAGGTGATCTTAGGTGACGTCAGCCTGGCCAACATGGTGAAACCCCATCTCTACTAAAAATACAAAAGAATTAGCCGGGCATGGTGGTGGCTGCCTGCAATCTCAGCTACTCGGGAGGCTGAGGCAAGAGAATCACTTGAACCCAAGAGACAGAGGTTGCAGCGAGCTGAGAACGCACCATTGCACTCCAGCCTTGGCAACAAGAGCGAAACTCTGTCTTAAAAAAAAAAAAAAAAAAAAAAAAAAAAGGAAAAAAAAAAAAAATGTCCCGATTGACTCAGCATGACATGAAGCACATCTATGGAAGCAGAAAATCTTTCTGAGTCACCTTTCATATGAAAGCAATTAAGATTCCACATCAAACATAAACTGAATGTCTCACTGCATTGTGAAGTGGGACACTGAGATTTGTTTTCCTTAAGCATTCTTTAATAAGTGAGAACAAACGTTTTGGGACCTCCAAAGAATATGAAATCTATTTTTAAAAACTATTTTTTAATCTTTATCTCAAACTTTAAATTTCTATTTTGTGTATTTTCTTTTTATTTCTTTTCTTTTTTTTTTTTTCTTGTGAGATGGGGTCTCACTCTGTCACCCAGGCTGGAGTACAATCATGGCTCACTGCAGCCTTCACCTCCCACACTCAAGTGATCCTCCCACCTCAGCCTCCTGAGTAGCTGGGACTACAGGCGTGCACCACGAAGCCCGGCTAATTTTTGTATTTTTTGTAGAGACAGGGTTTTACCCTGTTGCTCAGGCCGGTCTTGAACTCCTGGGTTCAACTGATCCTCTGACCTTGACCTCCCAAAGTGCTGGGATTACAGACATGAATCTCTGTGCGTGGACTGTTTGTTTGGTATATTTTCATAATACACAGGCATGTTTGTATAGTAGTGTAATTAAATATAGATGGTGTGTGTATTTTAAAAATTGATATGGGTACATAATAAAAAGATGTTTAGAGACCATTGCATTGGAGGATCTTGTGCCTGGATGGATTTGACTTTTCTTCTTTTTTTCATGTTATTGAATATTACTATGCCAAGGGCTTAAGTTGACATAGTAAATATGAAGAATATAGCAATAATGTTATTAAATATGTAATAGAATGGATAAAAATATTAAAGCATAGCACACATAGTATTACTTTTTGAAATTTTTACTTTAGTATATATATTACATATACACACAGATACACATATATACTTGTGTATGTGTACATACGTGTATAGGATCCTGATATAAGGTGCATTTTTTACTGTGGCTTTTTGGGAAAAAATTCTGGAAGCCATTGCCCTAGAATATCAAAGCACCAAGCATACATTGTGTATCAGAAGGAGCATCAAATCTGGTATGGAATGGGATCAGTTCCTAATTCGCTCCTGTGTATAAGAGCAGAGTGATGGCAGGCACGGTCCTCACTCACCAGCACAGTGACCCCCAGCGGCAGGCGCTCAAAGTTTTGTTCAATTGATATGAGTTGATTTGATCTGGACAGGGTGGCTTGCTTGTTTGTTTATTTATTCACCTAATATTAACTAAGCAATTCCTTTGGGTCAGGAATATAGTATCACACAGACATGGTTTCTTATCTTGAGAAACTTACAGTCTAGTGGAAAGGACAACAGTCAAGCAGAAACAAACGTAAAAAACCCTATGATTATAAATGTAATACGCTCCGTGGGGGAAAAGCAGAGCTTGCTGATAGAGCGTATCAAAGGGGCAGACCCTAGTCTGAGGCACAGGGAGGGTGTCCACAAGCACTGACACCGCAAGTGAGGTCTGAAGGGTGAGTAGTATTTGCTGGGCACGGGGCTGTGGGCAAGAGCCTTCCAGGGAGGAGAAACAAGTGCAAAGATCCCATGGCAAGAGGGAGCTTGAGATGCTTGAGGAATAAAGAGAAGCTGAGTGGCGGAAGCAGGCAAGAGCAGAGGCAATGGTCCCAGCGTAGGATTGGATAGGAGCATGTGGGGTTTTGTTGGATATGTTAAGGATTTTGCTATATTTTATTTTATTTTTGAGACAGGGTCTCATTCTATTGCCCAGGCTGGAGTGTGATGGCACGATCACAGCTCACTGCAGCCTCAGCCTTCTGGGGTCAGGTGAAGGGATTCTGCTCTTTAGTTTAAGAAAAGCAGGTGTCATTAAAAGATCACCCCAGCTCCTCTGAGCAGGATGGACTGGTGAGGACCAGAGGGGAGCCTGGGAGGCCACAGAGGAGGCCTGACAGTGGCCGAGGTAAGAAATGGTGGTGGCTTGAGCAGGATGGCCTCAACTCAGATGGCGAAAAGCAGAGAGAGGTATGAAGGGCCTCCTTCTGCCATAAGCTACTATAACCTTGTGTTTTGCAATGGTTCAGCTTTCAAGGAGCTTCCGGTCCTGGATACACCAAAGGCGTGACTTCCTCAGGACCTCTACTTGCAGTGCTCCCTCTGCCTGGACACGCTCCCTGCTCCTTCCCACGGGGATCACTTCTCCCCATCCTTTAGGTTTCAGCCTAAATTTCACCTCAAAGGCCTGTCTTCCCCACACTCTCTGAAAGGGTCCCATTTAAAAACGTCGATCACTGTTTCCTTCATAGCATTACGACAACTCAAAATTATTTTATTTCATTTACTTTCCTTTATTTTTCTACCTGTACCCCATTAAAATATATTATGAGCACAGAAAATAAAGTGTCTTGCTAAATGTTGTGTCCCCAGTTACTGTCCCCAGCGATTTGAATAACCCTCAGGGATTCCCACACCACAGTTTCAGAAACTATATTAAAAGTTAAATGCTGTGACTTTAAGAGTTCATTCAGGCTTGATGTGATTTTAAACAGGAATGCAAACATGGACCCTGAAATCAAGAAACATTAAAATGGAAAGGGAAAACGTAAAGTCTCCTGGACAAGCCCTAGATCCCCCTAAGAATGGTCTGTCAATTCTTTGGAGTCTCCAAATCCCAGTTTGAGAAACAGTAGCCCAGGTGGTCTCTAGTGAGCTTCTCAGTTAGAAGATTCTGTGTTTCATCTACTCTATAGGCTGGTAAGTTTCAATCAGAGGATGTACTGTAAGAATGTAGGTTATTACTTCTATATGGCCTCAGTGAATAATGTGCACAGGCCACTAAAGAAAATATAAGCACTAATTTTAAAAGTGCACAAATGTTATTATCCCATATCCTTAGCAATTCAATGTAAAACCAAATAATTTTGTAGAGTCTCTATTATTCTATAAGTCTAGTGCCGGTGCTGAAGTGGACCGAGAATAAGTAGAATATGGGCCCTGCACTGAAGAGGCTTTTACTATTCTTTTACTTCCTTTTATTACGCGTATGTACTTGAAATAAAGCAGAACGAAAATCTATTTGGGACAAAATTTTTCATCCATTTATGGGATGTTCATCCATTGCGTTATTTAGCTGTAGAACAGTCCTACAGGGTAAAAACTGTGCCAGGTGCTGGCTATTATGTGAAACAACATCATCAGGAGGAAAAACCCAGGGAGAAGCTTGGCATTACCAAACAAAATACCAGAAAAAATTTAAAGAAAACAGTAATATTTGGCAAAATCATTTGAGTTTCCAGTATGGAGTAGAATATGATGCCTTTCTCTTGAATCTTTGTAGATTCCTGGTTTTATGCTGCTGAATTTCTGATCTAAGTTATGAGTCGCTGTCTCTGCATGGTGGCAGGAAGTGGCATTTGGAACAAGCAACTTACGGTTCCAGAACGGGGCTGTCTGCCAGTGGTTGTTGTCGTGCGTGAAGCAAGTAAGGCCAGGCAGGCTGCACTCTTCCCCCTTCCTCTGCCGTCTCTTCTCCTTCCTCTCCTTCTTCCTCCTACGGTTCTCCTTGAAAAGTTGCAGTTTGCTATCGACTTCCTGAGCAGCCTCCCTGTTCCAAGAGAAGGGATTTTTTTTTGAGTGTTCAGAAGGCACTTTCTCAATTAAAAGTAGGCTTGTTGCTGTGAGTCTTGCAGGAATATTTAGATGCTTGATAAGAGATAATGGACGACCTTCAATTTGTATAGACAGACTTAAAATAGAATCAGGAATAGTGAAGACAGGTCGGGCACAGTGGCTTGCACCTGTAATGCCAGCACTTCGGGAGGCTGAGGAGAGCAGATCACTTGAGGTCATGAGTTTGAGATCAGCTTGGCCAACATGGTGAAACCCTGTCTCTGCTAAAAATATAAAAATTAGCCGGATGTGGTGACGCACAACTGTAGTCCCAGCTACTAGGGGATGAGGCACAAGAATCTCTTGAACTCAGGAGGTGGAGGTTGTAGTGAGCCAAGACTGCACCACTGCAATAAAGCCTGGGCAACAGAGTGAGACTCTATCTCAAAAAAAAAAAAAAAAAAAAAGAAAAAGAGAAAGGAATACTGAAGGCAGATTAATTCAGTGACAGCTTCTTGGGACCTTATTGAACCTAAGAGGACCAACATTTTCCTCCTCATGTGCATGGAAACATCGATGGAAATAAATGTCAATGTGAATGACAGGATCTTGCTAGCCACACTCTTTGGACAAATGGCTTATTTTTTTTGGCAGCCAAGTACCAATCAGCCATCGAGTTAAAGGTTAGTTGAACCAGATGGCTTGGATTAAAAGGTTTAAAAATTCTTTGACAAATTCTACTAAACAAGTTTAGATAGCCTTTACTTTTTAGAATTATTTTTTATTTTTTTATATAAAAGCTTAAACTTTGTTGAGTTTTAAATACTAAATCTCCTGCACATGCAAATTTTGCTATTATTTAAAAACATTTATGTTTCTTCCCACTTTCACAATTCAGCACTGTTCTAGGCTACTCTATAGAACACTGACAGCGCTGAGAGAGTCTGTAACCCTCAAGCACTCTCCACGGAAACCAGTGCATGGAGTAAAATCTAGTTACTGGTCCTATCTGCCAGGTAGGGAGCACTCACAGAATGACAGTGGAGTTCAGCATGGCTCCCCGACAAAGGATGCCAAGAGCACTGCTACGGTCCCTTGGTGAGGTGGGGCTTTGCTTTCAACTTCATGAGCTAGGTGCCCTCCTAGATGGGTCTACTTCTTCTGAAGCGGCACTGCGGGGAACACAGGGGTCCCTCCAGCCTCTTCGAAGGGCCAAGTGGACACTCACTGACTCCCAGCAAATGTAGAAAACAGAGAGTTACTTACTTGAATGGGTGAAGATGGCTCTTTATTTTCTCTTGCTTTTTTACACCTTTCTCTTTATTGTAATAGCTGCAGGTGAGAAGATTAAAAAGTGAGCCTTCATAACCTTGTATTGGATCAAAGTGTTCATTTTATAAAAAGAAAGCAAAATAGAAAGAAGGAAGGCAGTTATGTTGTAAGTATTTTAACTGAATGGGATTTTTTACTTCCTGCTTAAGTTTAAGCATATTTAATTTGACTTAAATAGCTTAGGTTATCATACTCTATGACAATACATTCTATAGGTAAAAGAGAAAAATGAGCCCAGTGCTCATGCCTCTGGCTTGTGTAAAAATGAATTTGGAAAGTGGAGCATGGATGGAAACAAGCTCACCTTTGTTTACTGCAGCTGCATTCCTCAGGCTTCCTTCTCTTCAGATGTCCTCTCACTTCTCTTAAATTCTTAATTTTATCTTGCAGAGCTTCAATCTGGAAAACATGTTTTCAAGCAATTACATGTTAAGATTGGGATTTTCTTTACAAAGTACTTTTCTTTTCACCTTGTTTTCTCTGTTCTGTAATAATAGCTATTCATCTGAGATGATACTTAACATAGAAACAAACTGGGCATAAAATATGTCTATATAGACTCTATATTCCAACCCATGTGTTACAGATAAACATTAGCAGATTCCTCTTTTATAATGGAATCTTTTTCTCACAGAGATTTCAAAAGGCCATGGAGTCAGTTCCCAGTCTCTTCTCACACTCTATATTGTTTTCAGTAGGACTATCATTAAATCACTGGAGAAAGACAAATAACTTTGTTTTGTATTTTTCACATAATTATAGATGATGTGTATCCATGGTATGTCCCACCAGGCACTGCAGGGCTGGCAGGCCAATGAGTCTGGAATATATCTGACAGTCACACAGCCACGGCTAACCTCTTTGTCAATGTATGCCTTATGGTCCTTCCACGCTCTGGCCGAGTGGTACAGTTCTCTCTCACAATGGATCGTGTCATTGGGAAGAATAAAACACCTGCAAAACAAACCAAAACCAGGTCAAATAGGTTTATATTCTAACAGTAGAAAACACTCAAGATCGCAAAGAGAACTTTTAATCCTCAAAACCCTTAATGTTGACACAGGCAGTAACCGTTGAGCTGATCCAAGACCAGCATCAATGGGAATATGTTCTAGCCACCAGTGAGGACAAAATGTCACATCGGTGGTTGGTTTCACAGCTCTGTGACTAAGATCATCCCTACGACCACTTTTCAAGGCAGTTCTGAATACTCACAACCCCATGAACAGGATACCACCAGAAAACTCAAGTTCAAATAGATATAGAACAAAAGGGAGGACCTTTCACATCACAATGCAAATGGCTTGTTTGAAGAAAAGCAGATTCAGAAGGGCAGTATTCATTCCACTCATTTTGTTAGAAAGAGAGTGCCCTAAGTACCCCACTGAGTTTTGAAGTAAAGATACAGCCCCAAGGATAGACAGCAGGTGGGATGTGGGGTTAAGCAATAATGTAAGAGAAATGCATTCTGGTCTAAACCCGTTAGTATGTAACTGTACCAACTTCAGGCACCAGGAGGCCAGAACCTCAGAGATAAAAATCCTGGCAGAGCGCACAGTGCCCCATCTCCCCAAAGTGATACAATTAGGGAGAGAACAAAGATCTTGCTAATAAATTCAGAAAGAAAACATTTCCTAATCAAGAAAGTAAGTAGACTTTGGAAGGAGCCAAAGAACAAAGTGAGTTCATTAAACCTATGAGGGAATCATCTCCCTTCCCCATCTCCATGACTTCCAAGGCCCTCTCTGTGATCTGGACTGGTTAGATATTTGTATGTCTTACATCCCTTCGTAATCTACATCATCTTTCTGGAAGTGTCTCTGGGACTCACTGTCTTCCCTTGGACTGTGTTTCATTTCTAAGGCTGTGACCACACAACTGCTCCAAGTGACAGTGATCGTGCAACATGGAAGAACTTCCAGCCTCTGAAATTGTTTCCATCTGTTTTCTAGACGCCTGCAAAGGTAACTGCTTAGGCTCATGAACTCCATGCCTGCTAAGTTAAGATGTGATGGAATTACTCTGGCTGGATTCCTAGCTGATCAGCCTTAATGTGGATTACTCTGGCTGGATTCCTAGCTGATCAGTCTTAATGTGAAATCAAACCCAAAGCACGCTTGTCGAAGCCTATAATTGTGTGGACTCATTGTTTCTTTAACCCTCAATCGCTACGTAGGCCGGCCCTCAGGCACCATATTGGCAAGTGATACTGCTTTTTTGCCAAGTGCAAAATGGTGATAATATGGTGTGTTGTGGTGGTAATTCTGAACTCAACCCTAGTCAACAAATAAAGTCTTCTTACTTGTGTGTCACTCGGACAGTGGTAGGTGGGCCCACGGCGTTGCTGCTATCTGCCAGCGTCCCGCCCCTGTTGCCACCATTGGAAGCCTGGAGATCTCTTGGCCCCTTGTGGCCTTCATCATGACGCTTAGCAATGTTTCTTGGTTGCAACACCTGTAATTCTTCTTCTTCCAGATTTATGTCATATATTTCGCCTTCAAATTCGACGGACAAAGAACGTGTCTGCCGAGTGTGGACAAATCTGGGCTTGTACTCTAGAAGTAAGGGAAGATACGTTACTATGGATGTCCCGATGTAGCTTACGAGGGAAGAAAGTGATCACCTGGTCCAGGAAGGATCCTGGAGAGGAGAAAGCAGTCCATGCTCCATTGCTGAGCGGCATCGTGGTGCCTGCAATTCACGGTAGCAGAGGTTGGATTCTTGTCCTGGCAGTGCCATTGCCTGGCAGTGTGATGGATGACATACTTCTCTGGGCCTCCAGCCCTTCATCTGTCAAGTAGGGGGTTGGTCCAGTTGATTTCTAGGATCCTTTTTACTCGTGGCAGGCTGTGAACTTCTACATTTGGTTTTCAACGTGAACTGCTCAGGCTATTTTTTTTTGATAAAACCATATTCCCAATTATGGTATTAATAATAATGGCTATCCTTTACTGAGCTTTTGCTATGTATTATATACTTCCTATTTATCTCTAATCCAGAGTCTTGAAAGACAGGTATTATTATAAAAACCCTTACATACAAAAACATCAGATTGTCAATACAGGTTCATCCTTATTTTATGTACGAGAAAACTGAAGTTTTGAATGTCACATGCATTTTGCAAGCTTATGGAGCTAGGACTATAATCTCTCAGACTATGAAGTCTTACCACTACATTGGGCTATTTTTTCAAAAAGGCAAATGCTCTAGACAACTTCTATTTGTACAAATAGTAGATTACTATTTACTCTAAGGATTACTCTAAGAAGAATTAAATTTTGCTAATGCTTTCATCAGCCAACTCACTTTTATACCTGGCAGAGGAGGGTTAAGGCAGGGGGTGGGCGGGCAGGGATGGGGAGAGGGCAGCATGCTTTCTGGTGACTATGAACCTTTTCAAGAGCTCATGTGTACCAGATAAGAACTTTAATGTGCAAACACTGGATGCTCTTAGCTCGGTAGCAGCATATTCATCTGGCCTTATCTCATTAGCCTAACACAGAAAGAAGTGGGGCATACTGGCTGTGGAATCAGAATTGTCATGCTTCTGAGACAGCTCTCAGCAGAATCCTGCAGTTTCCAGATAAGGGAGCAAGCTCCGTGACAGTAGGGGGGTCAATAAGAGTGCTTACGAGTTCCATCCTTGCAGAAAGGGTGAAAACCGACTCCTGTTGTCAAATACACAAGATTCCATACAGTTTGAAAGAGCTGCCCTAGACCTGTGTTTGGGCCTAATACTGAAAAATCAACGTGCTTTACGCTCAGTGCCTGGGAAACAAGGTCGAACTTTCCGGAAGAGAAGAGGGCACACTTTCTTCTAAGCTGAATGTTGCTAATCAGCTTCTGAAAAAGGAGCGCGCCAGGGGTCCTAGTTCCTTATTAATTTTTTTTTTTTTTTTTTTTTGTTTTGAGACAGAGTCTCACTCTGTCAACCAGGCTGGAGTGCAGTGGTGTGATCTCGGCTCACTGCCACCTCTGCATCCCAGGTTCAAGCAATTCTCCTACCTCAGCTTCCCGAGAAGGAGCTGAGATTACAGGCATGTGCTACCATGCCCAGCTAATTTTTTTGAGATGAGGTTTCACCAGGTTGGTCAGGCTGATCTCGAACCCCTGAACTCAAATGATCTGCCTGCCTTGGCCTCCCAAAGTTTTGGGATTACGGGCCTGAGTCACCGCGCCTTGCCTTATTGATTTTCAGAAATTTGATATCCTTGTGTGAGTTATTAGACCTGGAATTTTTCTCTCAGGGAAGAAAAAAAATCTCCCAAAGATTCTTAGTATTTTGGCTTATGGATTCCTTTAAAATTTGTTAAAAGTTGTTGACATGGAAACAAATGTCCATATACACATGGAAAACACAACAATTTTGGATGAAATATCAGGGCAAATGGCCCTAATGCCCATATTGCGGAGTCTACAATAAAAATGCCTGTTCTCAGGGCTTCCATTGCTCTAGTGTATGATTTGATTCCCAAATCTTTGACATAGAATTTAATGTACTTAAGTTGCTTCTTTCCAAACCATTATAGAAAGAAATCACCATAAAATTGAGTCATTTTTCATGTTACTCCACTAGGTGGTACTAGATTCATTCTTTCGTGGAAGGTGTCAGTCTGTGGATTTTCACATTTATGTAATCATAGGTTTCTCATAGCTGCCTAATCGAGGTTTTAGTAAGAAGATGCTAGGAAGTGCTTTTCATACTGAATTCAACTAGTTTGTCCCTGCCAGTCAACAAGATCCAACAATTTGACGGAATTAAAAAATACATATATTGTCGTAAAACAGAGATTAAAATATATGCCTTAAAAAAGTGTTTATGCTTTTCCTCTTAAAATTAAATGCATACACACTGAAACCTTGTGTTTACTATTTTTTAAAAGCAACTTAAGGCAGACAAATCAGGACGTTGGCATTGCGGTAAAATAAAATGGACTTAAACCATATCCTTTACCTTTTGGAATAGCCATTTTATAAACTCTTTTATGTGTGCATATGTTTCACTTCTGGTGCTTTTACAAACTATATTTTCATTCTATGCTTAAGTGAAAATGTTTGCAAAGCAAAATGTCACATTAATCTTAGCTTTCTTATTTTAAATAGAGCAACGATGTGCTTTTAGCCTGAAAATGATGCATTGATAATACCTAAAATGTAGAAGGAGCAACCGTTTCGTCTCTCTATTGTTTATTCCCACAGGCCTACACCACCATCGAGATGGTCACAAAAGTGTGGCTTACTTGGAGTCCCCTGGTTTCTCAAGAATTGCCGTTGACTCTTTCTTTGGCTTCTGCTGGCACGGTAACCGGACTCCCTACAACTGCACTCTTTGTCTCTGTCATGGAAGCCGCGAGCGTAGAGGTTCCGCGTGCTCTGCCGGACTGTGAGCAGGTCACTGGGTCCTTTACACTTGTGAATTCGAAGCTTGCCAGATGTATCCTCAATGCATTGCCACTTCTGCAAAAGCCAACGTGAAAGCAGTTTACCGATTCTGCTCCAGGTGTTATTGATTAAGAGCCGCTCCCTTAGTTTTTTTTTTTTTTTCTTTTTTTAGAAGCACTGGCAATATCTTTCAGGGAGTGAATGAAGAAAGGCAAGCTTTTAAGTGACCCCGCAATAACTCGACTCTCAGTTATTTCTTTCACTGTAGGCAAATACAGATGACAACGAAATCATTGGAAATCAAACTACCTCAATGACACTAGAGCCAAAAACTGATATATGAATCCTCAGCACGCAGACTAAACAGTCTTGAATGAAACATGTAAAAGCTGTTAGTTCACCAAGACACACAGTGCAGCTGTCAGGACTGCTTTCACCAGACCCCTCTTGCTCTGGAAAAACAAACTTGGCCGCTTTGTTCTCCGCTCCTGAATTTCTAATGTGAGCCAGGGAAGAGTGGCACATGAGGAAGACAGAGATGAGTTTAATTGGAGCCCATCATGGGGCGAGCCGACTCTCACAGACACCAGACATTAGCAAACTTGTCAGACTTTCTTTTGTGTCTTTTCTTATCCTTCTAAGAACATTGTGATATGGACAGCAGACAGGGAAACACTGGGTAGAAGAAGGTAGTTTCCTGGCAAAGGCCCCACCCTCAAGCCTGGGGATCTATGGCCCTAAATGGGGACAGACATTCCTGTTTTTGTACCCCAAACGTTGTTTATGGCCTGCCATGCCCCCTATCCTGTGCCCATATAAACCCTGAAACCCAGGCTCCAGAAGCAGACAAGGAGATGAGGACACAAGCAGATGAATGGTGGAACAAGGTGGCAGAGAAAGACAGAAGAGGAGGAATGTCTGAACACTGAGAGGAGCTTGGCTGGGGGTGGTCGGAGAGGAGTGTGGCTGTCCAGTGGCCAAACTGGGGAAGATCATCTTCCCACTCCATCCCCGCTTCTGGCTCCCCATCCGTCCTACTGAGAGCCACCTCCACCACTCAGTAAAATCCTGCATTCATCCTTCAAGCTCGTGCGTGACCTGATTCTTCCAGGAGCTAGGCAAGAGCTTGGAATACAGAAAGCTGTCATATTGGTGGCCCTCTGCCCTTGTCAAAAGGCAGAGGGTCCACTGAGCTGGTTAACAATCTGTCTGCAGATGGCAAGGCTAAAAGAGCATTGTAACACTGGGGCCATAGGCGCCTGCCCCTAGATACTACTGCAGGGCTGGAGCCCAAAGGACATGCCCTGGTTCCTGTACCTGCCCATCTGTGTGCTCCCCTTCTCATAAGGGGTTTGAGCAGTGGTGGTGACCGAGCAGGTGTGCCACACCCCTGTTGCACATCCTGTGAAGGGGATCAGGGAACTCTCCAGTTTCAACTGCACACTCAGCAGACAGTGGGCATGCTCCTATGTGAGACAGAGTTCACTTCCCAACAGACACATACGGGGAGCTTGCACTGACTTTTCTAGACTGAGCTTTCTAACACGCCTGCCACAGATGCTGCAGGCTTACGTCCGAGTAAATATGACACTGCCTCCGGACCAAGTGTCCTTGCACTTACTGATCTCAACCTGGCTGAAATAATAGCTTTTCACCTTGGGGGTCGTTTCCTGGGATCCTCCACATCTTACTTAAAGACTGAATAACTTCTTTTACATTTTATTTTCCCCCTTTTCCCTACAAAATTAATTTGGGAGGCAGGAAGAATATTTAATTTTAATTGGCCACAGTTGTCCCAGAGTTAAAATATAGTGTTATCAAACTTTTGTCTTTTTTCCTTTCCATGTCGGTCTATCGGTTGTGTACTATTATTTACTGAAACTTCTCTTTATCCTTCATTGTTTTTGTTCATATCTAAAGAGTGAGAAGCTCTTCTTTAAATGGGTGCATTTCTAACCTATGGACAGCACAATACTATCTGCACTGTAAAAGTATGTTTTTTTGTGCCACGATTATTTTCAAATATATTCAAATAAATAATTATTAAATAAAAGATGTTCTTTCATGCATCATTTAAAAGATCTTGTATCTCCCTCTTGTACCAGTACCATATCTGGGGTGACATCTTTGTTGCAAAGTGTCCTACTGCAAGGCAAAGTTTAGTCAAAGGTCCCAGACGGCCTTGCAGATAACCGACACTCATGTACAAAGTGACATGCAGTTATTCACAATGAACCAAGATGCAGAGCCATGATTTGTTTTCTCCTAAGGGAGTTGTATGTCTTCAATATATGTTGAATTATCAGAGCTGCTTTTTGGCTTCTACTATATAATCCCCACATCCTAGAGATACAGGGCTTCTTCTATGATTTTGCTTTAGCCCTTTATACTCTTGCTACTACTGAATTTGGTTGTTTCAAGCCATATCAGGGTACAACCTTTTTTTTGTGGATTGGCTAGAATGTCTTCAGTGTTTAACATCTTCATCCAGAGAAGCAGGAGCTCAAGGGACAGACAGGCAACTAATGAGTCATCCCTCAGGATCCACTGAGAATTGGGTCCAGGATGCCCTGCAGATACCCAAATCCATGAATGCTCATGTCTGTGATATAAAATATAGTATTTCTATATAACCTACCTACACACTCTTGTATACTTTATCTCTACGTTAACTGTAATACTTAATATAATAAAATGCTTTATAAATAGTAGTTATTCTGTATTGTTTAGGGAATAATGACAGGAAAAAAAGTTTATGCAGGTTCAATATAGACGAAATCATCTTTTCTTTTTCGATTCTTTCAATCTGCAGTTGGTTGAACCCACAGATGTAGAACCCATGGATACAGAGGGCGGATTTTACTTACAAAGCCGCAAAAAGGCAACACAAACAAGAACAGCCTAAGGACTAAGTTAGAGATGATTTAACTTAAGAATTGTGAAGTCAACTTAATTAAACACAGGAAGTTAGATCAGATGAGTGTTTCTCAAATTTGGCTGGACATTGGGACTTTCAGAAGCTCCCCAGATGATTCTAATGTGCAGTTGGAGTTCAGGCCACTGCTTTACATTAGCAACTGCTTACTGGACAGTTTTGCAGCTGGATTCCATGGGGAAGGCAGGAGGGATATATTTAAGTCTAAGTAGCTCAGATTCATGGGTCTTTGAGAGGGATGCATGTAATTGGTGGGAGTGGCGTGTGCAAAGGAAGCTGTGTCTAGAAATGTACTGATGTAAGCAGGTCAGAAAATGACTCCAGTTGGATGAATGAATACTATCAGTGCACCTATGCTTTCAGGACCATGTGCTTTATTTAAGTGAAACCAGTTATCCTTGTGCTCTCTCCACAGTTAGTTGATAAGTGACAGAATTTTGACTTAGCTGAAAACTGCATGTGGCTTGTTCCATGATTCTGCCATTTAATGTGGACATCAGTGGTTTCCACGCCTGGGTTTGTGGCACTCACAGACCCAATTATAGCATTCATGGCTATCCAATTAGCTTGAGGATGTGCCATGAAATGATCAAAAAAGTTCTCAGAGCTGGGCACGGTGGCTCAAACCTATAATCCTAGTACATCAGGAGGCCATGGCAGGTGGATTGCTTGAGTCCAGGAGTTTGAGAACAGCCTGGGCAACATGGTGAAACCCTGTCTCTACAAAAAAAAAAAAAAAAAAAAAAAAAAAATACATATATATATATAAATATATATAGCTAAGCATGCTGGCACATGCCTGTGGTCCCAGCTACAAGGAGGGAGGCTGAGGTGCGAGGATCACTTGAGCCCAGGAGGTCGGGGCTGCAGTGAGTTGAGACCATGCCATCATGCCACTGCACTATAGCCTGGGCTCAGAAACTGACAGACAACTCCATTAACATATAACTATATGCCATACACAATTATTGCTGGAGAAAGTGTTGCCAAAATAAATAACTTTTCGTAACTTCGCAAAGTTTGGGAACTAGTGGCATTTGAGTGTCTGTCTGTATGTATATCTGTCTTAAATTCAAATGGTTTAAGGCTTATCCATCTACCTGGATGATCTTTGCCTCTAGCATTTAAAAATGAAGAGTTGACTGCTTAATGCCTAGAGAAGCAAAGTAATTGGCTAGTGAATTCACAATCCACAGCCAAGTGGAAGCATAAGAGGTGCTCTATCTTCTATCAGACAGGAAAATATGGCTAATTTTATTCTTGAGGCTGGGTGTGGTGGCTCAGGCCTGTAATCCCAGCACTTTGGGAGGCCAAGGTGGGTGGATCGTCTGAGGTCAGGAGTTCAAGACCAGCCTGGCCAATGTGTCAAAACCCTCTCTCTACTAAAAATACAAAAAAAAAAAAAAAAAAAAAAGGCCAGGCACAGTGGCTCAAGCCTGGAATTCCAGAACTTTGGGAGGCCGAGGCAGGTGAATTGCCTGAGGACAGGAGTTCAAGACCAGCCTGGACAACATGGTGAAACCCCGTCTCTACTAAAAATACAAAAATTAGTTGGGCATGGTGGCGCACGCCTGTAGTCCCAGCTACTTGGGAGGCTGAGGCAGGAGAATCGCTTGAACCTGGGAGGTGGAGGTTGCCGTGAACCGAGATCATGCCACTGCACTCCAGGCTGGGTGATAGAGCAAGACTCCGTCTCAAAAAACAAACAAAAAACAAACAAACAAATATTAGCCAGGTGGTGGCACATGCCTGTAGTCCCAGCTATTTGGGAGGCTGAGGCAGGAGAATGGCTTGAACCTGAGAGGCAGAGGTTGCAGTGAGCCAAGATTGAGCCACTGCACTCCAGGCTGAGTGACAGAGCAAGGCTCCATCTCAAAAAACATATATATATATAAAAAAATATATATTAATATAATATTATATAAATATAAATATATATATATTCATTCTTGAAAAATAATGGCCTAAAGTCTTTTTGTGGATCCAATTTATATCAACTTTAGTACAAACACTAATTTTTAAAGCACATGACCATAGTGAAAACCTGTGGTTTTTATAATCACAATGCATTCAAAGAATTCTGCCTATTTTGTTTGTTTTTGCCCTGGAGGATCTGAGGGTACAAGTAGATTCCTGTAGA